TCTCTCTCTCTCTCTCTCTCTCTCTCTCTCTCTCTCTCTCTCTCTCTTTAGTTTTTTTTGGGACAGGGTTTTGTAGCCCTGGCTGGCCTCAAACTCAGAAATCCTCCTGCCTCTGCCTCCCAAGTGCTGGGATTAAAGGCGTGCCCTACCACTGCCCAGCTAAGCCCATTTATCAAGACATATTTTTCATAGCTTCTTCTATACCTTCTATCAGACATGAGCACAAAAATGGCTAGCCCATCGTGGGCCTTTCAGTCCTAAATCTAAGTCACTTTTGTCACAGAGTATGACCAAATATGTTTGGTGTGTTAGTCTCCACTAACTCACCTGTCTTTTGTTATAGGAGTCATCTGTGACTCTTTTTGAGAGTGCAGAAGAAATCACAAATGTACAAATGGCCGAAATGCATAGGAAGCAAAACCAAAAAGAGGTTGTTTGGCTCTTTGGGGCCCTTTCTGGTTAACTCTAGGGGATTTTGAAGCCACAGCTTCTGAAATGGAGGCAGAATGGAGCAGGCAAAGAGATTGCCTCCCATCCATGGTGGTGGTAAGGCCACTCCACCTGAATGACCTCTGCCGTCCTTTTTTTTTTTTTTGGTTTTTTGAGACAGGGTTTCTCTGTGTAGCCCTGGCTGTCCTGGAACTCACTCTGTAGACCAGGCTGGCCTCGAACTCAGAAATTCGCCTGCCTCTGCCTCCCAAGTGATTAAAGGCGTGCGCCACTGCCCAGCCAGACCTGTGCCTTCCAAATATAGTCTTCCCTCAGTACCTGTGAATTTCACCAACCATGTACTGAAAACATTTGGGAGTGATATTATTCCCAGTGCCGTATGTCTATAATCCCATCTCTTCAGACCCAGTGCAGGAAGAGTACCATAAGCCTGGGTTACAGCGTGAAGCCCTGCTTCAGAAAGAAACAAGAAAAGCAATGGCTCAGCAGCTGGGAGCACCTGCTTGTCTTCCAGAGGAACTAAGTTCCGTTTCCAGAGGCCACTTTGGGTGGCTCACAAGTGCTCCTGACTAGCTCCATGAAGTTCTAAGGTCCTCTCTGGCCTACACACACACACACACACACACACACACACACACACACACACACACTCTAAAATAAAATGTAAATACAACAATAATAAAACAAGAAAAGAAAGAATGTTTGGCAGGAGGGGATTGTATTTGTACTAAAGCTGTTTAGACTTTTTCTATTCATTGTCTAACAATACTATAACAATTTATATAGTTTGCATATCTTAGTATTATATGCAAATATAAGAGAATGTGCATAGATTATATGTAAAGGCCTCACTATTCTATATGAGGACGTGAACATCTGCAGGGTTTGATGTCTTAGAAGGATGGGTTCTGAGTAGAGTGAACCCCTGGGATACTGAGGGAAGACTGTAGGTGATGTTATTCTTAAGAGCATGGACTCAGAGTAGGGCGTGGTGACCCATACTAATAATCTACCATTTGGAAAGTAGAAAAAGAAGGTTTACAAGGCCTGGCTAGGCTTTTCTGTAAAATGAGGATAATAAGAGTATCTCCCTTGGTGAAATGTTCCCAGTCTAAGCTGAGTGAAAGGCAGAACCCTCAGAAAGCATCTCAGACTTAGAAATTGTTCAGTAACTGTTAGCAGTGATCTTCAGGGATGAAATGCAGAAGCTTCATGAATTAGCAAGGAACTTGCAGAGCAACAGTTAATGTTTGGCTTGTCCCCAACCAGGTGAGCAGTGGGGCGTTGTGATCTGTAACTGGCCTAATCAGTTCAGGGTTTGTATCCTGAGAGTCTCCTACAACTGTGGGAAAAGAGTTTACACGCTTGAATCCATTCTCTGTGGTGGTAGTTGTACAGTACCTTGGGGAAAGAAAATGAAATTCTTTTGGGGGGAGCTCAAGAGAGGATTACTTTGTGTAGTCCTGACTGTCCTGGGTGGGACTCCCTCTCTGACCTGGTTGCCCTTGAACTCAGATATCCACCCACCTCTGCCTCCTAAGTACTGGGATTAAAGGCTTGGGCCTCCACTGTCCATTAAGACTGGAATTCTTAATGTAAACAACAACAAAAACCTGTCTGCAAAAGATCCTTAATATTTTCTATTCTAAGACCATAAAGAGGTGGGGGTGCTACACTATGCTTATGTTGACAGTCATGATTGCAGTAATGCAGCTTTCCTTTGATGGCACCTGCCTCAAACCCCAGACTTTGTGCTCCTCGGAGGAATGTGGTAGATTCCTCCTGTGGTAGGAGGCTGTGGTAGGAGGCTGTGGTAGGAGGCTGTGTTAGGGAGGGGCAGATTTTTAGACTTCAGATAAATGAAAAGTTGCAAACGAATGTGGGTGGCATAGCTCTCTTTAATGAATATATATGGGGCTAGGGTATAGTTGGGTTGGTAGAATGTTTGCTTAACATGAAAGTTCGGAACTGAACTAGAGTCCTCTGTAGGACAGTATGAATTCTTAAGCAGTGAGACATCCCTCTAGTCCCTAACTGTATGATTCCAAAGAATAAAAAGACATAATTTTCTTTCAAAACTGCATAGAAAGTGTTTGAGGAATGGCTCAGCAGTTAAGAGCATGTGCTGTTATTACAGAGGGCCCAGGTTCAATTCCCAATACCTATATAGCAGCTCAAAACTGTATGTAAGTCTAGTCCCAGGGGATATGATACTTTCTTCAGGCCTCTGGGGCACCAGGCATACATATGATGAATGGACAGACATGCATACAAAATACCAGTGTGTGTGTGTGTGTGTGTGTGTGTGTGTGTATAAAGCATATATACATATGCTTTAGAAATATGTTTAAAGACTTCATAAAAACTGGGTGTAGTGCTTGGTGCACACTTTCAATCCCAGCACTCATGCACATGTGGAGGTCAAAGGACAGATAGGTTGAGTCAATTCCTTCTAAATTGTGGGGCTCTGGAGATTAACTTGGGTGGCCAGGCTTGCATCTCTGGGCAGCAAGAACCTTTACCATCCTACTGGCCCTAAAAGGAAAAAATCCTGTGTAACAATGCCATCTTAAACTGGGTGTGGTGGTAGTGATAATGTCCCTTATGTCCCTAATAGCAACACTAAGAGGCTGAGGTAGGAAGATCTCAAATTTGAGGCCTAGCTGGCCTACATAGCCAAAAAGACAGAGTCTCAAAACAAAAAAGCAAACAAAGTCAACTTCGTTTGCGCTAGGACTCTGAACTACTTATATATCCCTGAAGTTTCCCTCAGAAGAATGTAGGAGGCAGCAGCATGAGCCTCCCTTAATGATGGAAGTTTCTAATCTAATCTAATCTAATCTAATCTAATCTAATCTAATCTGCCCTGTCTGTGCAGGTTACCTCCAGAAGCAGCCATACTTTGGAGCTGTGGTTGGGAGGGTGGCCAACCGAATTGCCAAAGGAAGGTTCACAGTTGATGGGAAAGAATACCACCTGCCCATTAACAGAGAGCCCAACAGTCTCCACGGTGGATTCACAGGGTTTGATAAGGTGAGTTGGGCATGACAAGAGCTCCTCTTGGCATACTTTAAAGTCCCCTCAAGCCGGTATTTGCCAGACCCTAGAGCACTCGTGTGGTGGAGGGTTCCAGGGAAGAGGTGGGTTCCAGGGAAGAGGTTTGTTCCCGTCTTTGACAGCCTTGGGCTCAGGAAGCCAGGCATGGCTTTCATAGTGTCAGTATCAGGGAGCTGGGTTGCAGATCATTCCTGAGACTTACGGCACAGGCACTCACATCCATGTTCTCTAGTCAGTAAAACATACTAAAACCATGTGTGATCACCAAAGGAGAAAGCTCATTCCCCCCCTCCCACCCCACCAAAAACTAGACATCTCCTAGTGGGCTAGCCAGGCCTGCCTACCTGGCCCCAAGCCCTCATTCCTACCTCCACTGTAAGTATTCTTGTCCTCCAAGGCCACCACAAGTGTACCCAATCCTCCTAGTACCTGTCCTCAGTCCCCTTCCCCATGCATAGCGTGTACAACACCGACCTTGTTCCCCTCCCACCGAATTGCTTTGTTCCCCAAAGTTAGCTCAGGTTGTCTCCAGGTTCCCATATCTAGACAAGCACTCCCATTACCTAAGCAGATCTCTGGGAAACAAGGTTGGGAAAGAAAGTGGATCAGGCATATCCTCCGGGATGGGCAGGCCCCTGACTCCTGCTTCCCAGCCCTGCTCTGCATCAGCTCTTTGGCTCTGACCAGTCTCATTCTGAGCTGTGAAGGAGAAAACTTCAGAGGTATTTGGGCTTGGGTTACTTCCTAGACCCTAGCCAGAGAAGATGAGAATTTGGGCGGGAGCCGAAATCCACCGAAAGCTACACTTCTTCTCTGCCTCTAGCCACTACCTCTTCTGTTGAAGGAAGTTGGGTGCTGTTTCCCGACTCCTGTTACCAGCTTCCTGTCTAGGGCCTAGAACCAGATCACACTGTTGGGAAGAGCAGAGGGAGGGGAGAATGTCAGCTCTGCTAGCATGAGGGCTGAGGATCTCTAGAATATTCCAGGTCTGTGAGCAAACCTCAGCCCAGCAGAAGTTGGACCCAGCCTTAGTGGGGACAGGAATCTTCAGAGGAGCCTAAACCCAGCAATTTGGTGTAGCTTGTTCCTCCTTCTGTCCCACTGTATGTGTCTGTGGTACTCACTAGCACATATTTCCTAACAAACACAGACAAAAATGGCTATCTCCATACATCATCTTTTCCTGACAGGACCTCATGTGCCCCATGCTGGCCTTGGCGTGGCTAAGTGGCTGAGAATGATCTTGAGTTTATGATAGTCCATCCTTTAGCTCCCCATTGCTGGAATTGCTACTTTGTTTTGTTTTTTTCCCCTTTCCCTTTTTCCCTCTCCCTCTGGCCTTGCTCTCTCTGGCCCAAAGGTTTTATTTTTCTTCATTATACAGATGGTTGTGAGCCACCATGTGGTTGCTGGGATTTGAACTCAGGACCTCCAGAAGATCAGTCAGTGCTGATCAGTAGTTAACTGCTGAGCCATCTCACCAGCCCTTTGTTTGTTTGTTTGTTTTTAAGATTTTTTAATTATTTATTTGTGTGTTTGTGTGTGTTGTTTGTGTGTGTTGAATGTATGTGAGTACATGTGTGGGTGGGTGCCTAAGGAAGGCCAGAGAGGGTGTTAGGTCCCTGGAACCACAGATACAGACAGTTGTGGGCTGCAAGATATGGGTACTAGAAGCCAAAGTCAGCTTCTGTGCAAGAGCCCCCCCTCCCCACTCGGGCCCCCCCCCCCGCGCACTCTTAGCTGCTGAGCCATCTCTCTAGTCTGGGAATCACCAGTTTTATGTGGTGGTGGGGACTGACCCCAGAGGTTCCTGTATGGTAGGTAGTCATTCAGCCGTCTGAGGCACATCCCCTAAAACTCTGCCTCAGTACCTTTTATATTGGTACAGCTGAGTACACAGAGCAGGTGATTTGTTAAAACAAAGGTCTAAATTAGCCCTCATGTCTAGAGGCTGGAAGTTCCAGGGCAGGATACCAGCCTCTGGCTTTGTTTCAGATGTGCCCTTTGCTTTATCCTAAGGTGGAGAAGGCATCTTAGAATCATTGTGCCCGCTCAGGTCTTCTTCCTCTTATTACAAAACCACCACCCCCCCCACCCACCCCGGGGGCAGGAGTTGCACTAACTACCGCAACCTATCTAATCCTAGCTACCCTTCAGGTCCTCTGCCTCAAATACCCATACTATGAATTTGAGAATCAAGTCTCCAACAGAGGAAAGTTTTGAGCAGCACATTCCAGTCTTAGCAATGGCCTTTAGCGGTGTGAGTCCCTCCTGCACACCAGCAAGGCTAAGAGGCTTGGGTTCCTGGGGCTCCCCAGATGGCCTCTTACATAACAGAGGTGCACAGATGTGAACAGTGTACAGTGGGAAGTGAGTGTGAACAACGGGCTTGGTGGAATTTGAACTCCTGAAGAGCAGGTAGCGTCTGTCCATCTGTGGACATTCAAGAGATGGCTGTGAAGGGGAAGACTTGGCTTCTGTGAAGCCACTGGTGTTGGGGCAGGAAGTTTACTGCAGTAGCAGTAACATTGTGCTAACAAGCAGCAGCACTGAAAGTGATGCTTCACTCTATTTGATTGCAACAATAAATGAATAATTTAGTTTGGAGACATGTGCTTTTTCTATTTATATCAACACTTTAAAAAAAAAAAAAGATGAAAATGGAGTCCTGACAGGACTCGAAATAGTACAAGTAAGACGAAAGATATGAAATTTCTGGAAAATTGGAAACTCTGGGTCAGGAAATTCATTCTGTGGATAGGAATTGCACTTAGCTAAGGATAATAAAAAAATTTTCCACTATGTTCCTTCCTTAAAGGTCAAAACTCTAGGTGGCAAGGCAGTGACATTTTATTTCAAACATTTAACTGTTAAAATTTTCCATTTGGTGACAGGGTTTCTCTGTGTAGCCCTGGCTGTCCTGGAATTCACTCTGTAGACCAGGCTGGCCTCAAACTCAGAAATCTGCCTGCCTCTGCCTCCCAAGTGCTGGGATTAAAGGCGTGCGACACCACTGCCTGGCTTCTTTCTTTCTTTTTCTTCTTTTCTTTTGATTTTTTTTTCTTAAGGTTATACATCTAACAGGCTTCCTTAATTTTTTAAAAAAATTGTACTTATTAGTTTTGTGTCTGTGTGTATCTTGGTGTGTGTGCTCATGTGTGTGATTGTTTACCATTCCTGGGAGTTAATTGGGGTATCATCCGTCTAATCTCCGTGAATTTGTTCTCAATGCCGGTGGCTTTCTCTGTGGGGAACTCAGAGGCCTTCACCCCTGCTGGGCTCCTCTTCCAGTCAAATGCAGTTTGAGTAAGAGCAGAGCCTGCTGGGAGTTAAGCAGACCATTCCTGGCCTCAACGGCTGTTCCTCTGGTCTAATGATACAGTTTAGCTTCAACTATTTAAAAAAAAAAAAAAAAAAACAGAAACCTGGTCAGTTGAAGTACATGCCAGGAGGAAAGAGGGAGAGGCAGTAAAGAGGTTACAAGTTCTAGGCCATTCTAAATTTAACCTATATATAGCCTGCACCTTTCAAAAAGGGATCTTTAGGTTCAGGGGTTAAGAGTACTTGCTGCAGCAGGTAGAATGATGAACACCTTTGATCCAAACACTTTGGAGGCAGAGGCAGTCAGCTCTCTGTGAGTTTGAGGGCAAGCCTGGTCTACAGGGACAGTTCCAGGATAGCCAGAGCTAAAAAGAGAAACCCTGTCTTAAAAAAAAAAAAAAAAAATGTACTTGCTCTTTCATGTTCCATCCCCTGCTTTACATAAGGTGGCTCACGGCTTCCTTTAACTCTGGCTCCAGGAAATCTGATTCCCTCTTCTTATCTCTACAGGGTACAGGGGTGTGTGTGTGTGTGTGTGTGTGTGTGTGTGTGTGTGTGTGTGTGTGTGTAAGTCCCACCCAGATACACATACATTTTTTTTAATTAAAATATTTGTAAATGTAAATTTAAGCAAACATGTTTGCTGGAAATAGGACCTGGAGCAGGGTGGGCAGCTGGACTTGCCTGTGAGCCCTCGCTCTGGCACACATAATGTGCTTGATTTTTAGAAAGTTCAGGTTCACCTCCCTGTAAACCATGAAGTATTCTAGGCTTCTCTTCTTTCCTACAACATGGTAGAAGCAGACAACTTGACACTGAACTCAATACTGAGCTAACAAAAATAGTGGGAGCTTCGAGAAATGACCGGGTGCTCAACTGTTGATCCACACGGGGTCGGACCAAATACTTAGGTTGACTTACGTAAAATAGATTAACAACTTAGGAACACTCAAAATTGAAGTTCTCCCGTTTCCGTGCAGCCCTTTACCAGTTATTCTCAGCGCCATAGAAGACATTCTGCCCAACTCATTCTGATATTCGTAGGATACGGGAGCAGGCAGCAGGGGCTGGCTCAAATCCGTTGTTGCTGTCCAGGCGACCTGAGGTGGAAGTTTGTCCATTTGAGGAGCTTCTTTTTCCTTTTTCTTTTTTCTTTTTTTCCTGAGGCAAGGTCTCTTTGTGTGTATCCCTGGATGTCCTGGAACTATATAGACCAGGCTGGCCTCAAATTGTGTCTATGTTTTCCTTTGTTTCCTTGTTCACCTGCCTCTGCCTTCCACTGCCTCCCACGTGCTGGGATTAAAGTCGCATGCCAACACAGCCCAGCTTTTTTTTCTTGTGTTAAAATGACACTGTCTGTAACAACAGACTCCCCCTTTATATCTGGGCTCCAGTTCTCTGGTCATTTGATAATGGTGCCCCCGAAAGTATACTCTTAGACAAAAAGACAGCCCCTGTGAAGCAGCCACCTGGGTGCGGCTAATAATGGGCACTCAGTAAATATTGCATTTCTCTTTAGTAGATGCATGAGCTTTGGACTCCGGGGCAAAGCTGAGAGGCTCTATTGTGAACCCAGGATTCTCATTTCTATTTGCAAAAGTTCTTCTGGAGAACTTCACCTTACTCCCTACAGTTCTTAGAGTTGTGTTTGCTTTTTTTTTTTAAACAAACAAACAAAAACAAAAAACAAACAAAAAACAAAAGACTCCATTAGGATAAGTTTTTCAGTACCTCTATTTCAGGAAAAGATTGGTGGCTGAAGCAACATACTGAACTAAGGACACCCTGGTCCCTAAATCAGAACTCCTGACTTGTGGCTTGGAATTCTTCCAAATGGAATAGATGTGCTGTTTGCTTTAACCCCTGCCCAGTGAGCATGGCCAACCTCAGAGTACGATGAATATTTACAAAGGGGCTGCAGTATAGCTCTGTAGGAGAGTACCTGCCTAGCATGTGCAAGGCCCTGGGTTCCAACACCAAAATAATAATAGTAAGAATTAAATGTCTATGTATAGTACCGAATAGAAAGGGGTTGATTACATTTTTGTTTTTGAAGATAGTATCTCATGTAGCCCAGGCTGGTCTTGAACTCCAGAAGAGCTGAGTGTGGCCTTGGCCTTCCATGCATTGAGGTTGTAGTCATCCATTACCATGCCAGGATTTATGTGGTTTTAGAAATTGAACACAGAGTTTTATGCATGCTGGGCAAGCACTCGACCACTCTACACATGGAGCTACATTCTTGACCCCAAGGTTATCTTTAAATATCACAAGTAGGTTTTGATGTCTTATATTTGTCAGACTGAAACACATCAAAGCCAGGCAGTGTTGGTTCACACCTTTAATCCCAGCAGTCCAGAGTGGATCTCTGCCATCAAGGCCAGCCTGGTCTACAGAGTGAGTTCCAGGACAGCCAGAGCTTCAGAGAGAAACCCTGTGTCAAAAAAACAGAAAGGAAGATAAAAAACAAACAAACAAACAAACAAACAAAAAACCACAAGGAAAACATAGACACATAAATATAAAGTTAGGAGAAGAAAACAGAGGAAATGCAAGTCGATAAAGAGGAAAGTGTTTTCTCCAAAGCCTTCCTTTCATGTATAACATAGTTCTAGGTGAGATAAGCTCCAGGTTATTATTCAGAAGCCTTTATTTCTTTATAATCAGGCCCCTTTCCAGACTCTGCTCTTTAAAAATTGAAATGCAGCACTTCAATGGGGACTCCAGTGACCGAGCATGTCCAAACATTTCTTCCTAGGTCCTCTGGACCCCGCAGGTGTTGCCCAATGGTGTCCAGTTCTCTCGAGTCAGTCCAGATGGTGAGGAAGGCTACCCTGGAGAGTTGAAAGTATGGGTGACATATATCCTGGATGGTGGAGAGCTTGTAATCAACTACAGAGCACAGGCCAGCCAGACCACTCCAGTTAATCTGACCAACCATTCTTATTTCAACCTAGCAGGCCAGGTAAGTGGACTCACTTCTTCTCTCCTGCTGTAACCGGAGTGCTAGAGCGATGACCAAGGGTGTGGCTGGAGAGACCAGCCCATCTTGGAGATGAACCTATGCTCTTGGTGATCAAAAGGGCCCAGCAGAGTATCTGGCTTTAAATAAATGCTCAGTAAAATGGAAGTCATGGAGGAGGAGGGAGTGAAATGTCATCCTGCCAAGGGAAGCAGCCATCTCCCTGTGATGCTGACAAGTGACGAGTGTTTTCACGAATTCCCTTTCATCTTGTTGACATTAGGTCTCCTTGTTCTTCTGCTCTCTCCGGAATTACTTTCATCTGGGTTCCGTCCTTAAATGTGAGAAATGAGCTTCTTTGCCTCAGCCCCTCTAAAAATGCCTCAGGTAGTGTGTGTGCTCCGGCTGTGTGTCCCAGCCTCTCCCAGGACTTCTGGTTGTCAGTCCTATCCTGTGTGGTAGGAACAGTGGACAGGGGACTGGGCATGCAGTTAGGACCCCTGGGTTTTTAGATTATGAGACATGGCCTCAGTTTAATAATAGTAACTAACTTTGTTGGCAGCTTTTTGAAGTTGCTGGTGAAAACATTGAAACCATCCTAGGTGCAGGACCCTGAGCAATATCTGAGCGTTGTGTAGAACCAGTGGTATTCCCTTCCTTCAGTAGCAACTCCCTGCAAAGCCACGTCATAGCCTCCTAATTGTTTAGCCTTTTAAAAAACTTGCCCCATGGTTCAATAAAATGTGGAGCTCAACTGCAGTTTCTATCTCTGACTTCCTCCTCATCTTAAGAAATCAGCTTATCTGATTACTTCAACCACATTGGCACGATCTCCCACAAGCAGGTGGCCTAGGCCAGCTGGCGATCGCTTCCATTTTCACCCTTTATTGGGTTTTGCTGCTAGTTTACTGGTGGTAGTTTCTGGAGGTAAGCAGGTAATTGGTTCTTACAGTATCTCCAAAGTTCAGAATAACAAAGATGACTCTTTTTCATCTTTGATTTTCTTTACTTTTCTTTCTTTCTTTTTTTTTTTTTTTTTTTCGAGACAGGGTTTCTCTGTGTAGCCCTGGCTGTCCTGGAACTCACTCTGTAGACCAGGCTGGCCTTGAACTCAGAAATCCACCTGCCTCTGCCTCCCAAGTGCTGGGATTAAAGGCGTGCACCACCACTGCCCGGCTCATCTTTGATTTTCATCAACCAGTTCTTCTTGGTTGTTTTTTTGTTTGTTAGTTTTGTTTGTTTGTTTTTGTTTTCCAGGAGGGTCTCATTTCATAGCCTGGGCTGGTCTGGAACTCACAGCCATCTTCCTGCCTCAGGTTCTCAAATGCTGGGATTACAGGTGTGAGCTGCTGTGCCCATCTTCTAAATTTAATACATAGAAGTTTCTATTTATTTATTTCTGTTTTCAATGTTGGGGGTCCTCAGGTGGGGGTGGGGAATCGTGTCTCTCAAAGAATGGAAAAGGTATGAAGACTGCAGGTAGTTTTTGCTTCTCTATCCAAGCCTGTGCCTACTGCAAAACTCAGGGAACATGTTGTCTATTGAGACTTTAGCTAAAGAGCCATGAAAGCACACCAGGGAGGGCTTGAGATGGAAAGCAAGCAGCGTGCTTCTGGTGTGACGAGATAGATGTGCCGTCAAGGGCCCATTTTCTTCCATTTATCTGTTTTCCTTCTGTCTTGGTTACTTGTTATTATTGTGAAAAGATGCCATGACCACGGCAACTTATAGAAGAAAGAGTCTGTTGAGGGAACAGTCTCAGAAGGTGAGTCTGTGACCATCATGACTGGGCGCGTGGCAGAAGGCATGTAGTCACGGCGCTGACTCACCAGCAAGAAGGGAGAGAGACCTAACTGGGAACGGTTATGGCTTTGGAAACCTCAAAGCCCGCCTCCAGTACTAACACCCCTCCAACAAGGCCGCACCTCCTAATCCTTCCCAAATAGGTCTACCAACTCCAAGAATTCAAGTATATGTGTCTGTGTGGGCCATTCTCATTTAAAGCACCACCTCTTCCTTGGTGGTTGGGCTTTTTGTCTTCAGACTTTTCCCTTGTGGTCACAGAATGGCTGCTGTAGCTCCAGGAGTCTCATCTTCACATATGCATCTCCACAGATACACAGAAACAGGACTTCTTCCCTTCTGTGTCTGTACTATCCCTTTTCTAATAATTAATAGGGCATTATTTTAGGAGCATCCCACAGGCTTTGCTTCACTTTCATCAGCCAAAACTGTGACCCATGCTCTATCTAACCCAACTGCCCTCAAGGAGATTCCTACAGAACAGTTGCCTTCAGAGGCTGGGGAAGGCTCCTCTTCCCTGGATATGTGAACTAGCCTGCAAGTCTGGATTCTTCCAGAAGAAAGGGAGATGAGGAGGAGGAGTTACTGTGACTCTTGAGTAGAAATCTGTTGTCTCTTACCTCCTGCAAGAGTCGTTAGGAGCTGAATTAGGCAGGAGTTGTGTTGATACACCAGAAGTTCTTTAAGGCCCATGCTAGTCATAATGGAGCAAGCGTGCAGACTGTATACTTACAACAAGCAACAGTCAAGGGAAATTACCAGGAAAAAAAGACAACAACAACAACACTGAATTTAGAGCTCAGTCTCAAGGTCTGTGTGGGAGCCAGTGTTCCGTGTGGGACCCAGTGTTCCGTGTGGGAGCCAGTGTTCTGTGTGGGAGCCAGTGTTCCATGTGGGAGCCAGTGTTCTGTGTGGGAGCCAGTGTTCCATGTGGGAGCCAGTGTTCTGTGTGGGAGCCAGTGTTCCGTGTGGGAGCCAGTGTTCCATGTGGGAGCCAGTGTTCCGTGTGGGAGCCAGTGTTTCGTGTGGGAGCCAGTGTTTCGTGACAAGTTTTCATCAGCATGGGAAGGAAGTGAATCTGACAGTAATCTTCCACCAGTGTAGACCACTGCATTTTCCAGACCAGAAGACACAGAAAATATGCTTCCTTCTCTTCAATGAAGAAATGTCTGGGCTGTTCAGAGAACAGGTTCTTTCCCGATACACATTGCCTCTCCTTGCCCTTCTTAGTACCTCAGACACATCCATCTATTGGCTGTGTGGTTTTCATGTTGGTTTTCTTCCTGCCTTAGTGCTTAAAAAAATTTTTTTTGAACGAATAAAAGAAAGACTGTTTTTTAACAGTCACAGAAATTTCTCAGCAGCTTCCTTCCTATTGTGAAAGCAGTGGGCATAGGTGCTCATCTACAGGAGAGCTGTGTAAAGTCTGTGCCACAGCCTACAGCACAGAGGACCAAGTCGCTGGTAACTCAGGCACATTCAAGACCATTGTGCCATAGAGTAGATAGAAGCCAAAACTGTTCTGATTATAAATTATAAATATTTATCTCTTATGAAGGAGTGGCAGCTGGGAAGCATGCTCCTGGAAAAGGAGAGTAAAGATCTGGACTCAGGCTAGCCGGGGGAGTCTGGAGAGCTGTATGCTAAGTCACTGTTTTTTTTGTTGTTGTTGTTGTTGTTGTTTTAATTTTTTATTTATTTTATGTAATTTGAGTACACTGTGGCTGTCTTCAGACACACCAGAAGAGGGCATCAGATCTCATTACAGATGGTTGTGAGCCACCATGTGGTTGAACTCAGGACCTCTGGAAGAGCAGCCAGTGCTCTTAACCGCTGAGCCATCTCACCAGCCCTTAGTCACTGTTTTTGTGTTGAAAATTGTATTTATTTACGTGTACATATAAATACACACATGCTTGCCGTGGATCACGGATGGAGCTCTGAGGACAGCTTATGGGAGTCAGTTCTCTCCTTCTACCTGGTGGGTCCTCGGGACGGGCTTGGCAACACGTTCCTTTACCCTCTGAGCCACGTCGATCATCCTACGATTACACTTGACAGTTTCTTCCAAATTTGTCAATAGCTATATAGAGGTTTTCTCTACCTACCTTTAAGTGACTTAATTCTATTGGTCAGCTGTCAATGCTTGAAGACACTTTTGCAGAAGATAGAAAGTGAATATGTAAAATAAAACCCAGTAGCTGGGTGTGGTACACATTTTTAATCCCAGTACTCAGAAGGCAGAGTCAGGTGGAGCTCTGTGGATTTGAGGTCTACATAGTGAGTTCCAAAACATCAGGACTACTTCGAGAGACCCTTTCTCAACCCTCATCCCCCCCAAAAAGACATAAGCAGTATATCTTCTTTTTCTCTTTTCCTACCCAGGGCTCCCCAAATATATATGACCATGAAGTCACCATTGCAGCGGATGCATATTTGCCTGTGGATGAGACTCTGATTCCAACAGGTCAGTGGATTTACACTATCGTGTCGTGTAGAACCATGGTCCTCAGCCTCAGAAAGGTTGTCACTGTACGAACCATTTTCGTGTTGATCTTTGCTAGGTGAAGTTCTGATAAAAGTGATAGTTTAGTTAACTAACATGCTAATGTCAGTCTTCTCAGTTCCGATATTTGTAACACGTTTATACAAGAAGTTAACGGTAAGGGGAATTGATGAAAGGTATAACACAGATACATTAGTTTTTACCCACATTGCTGTAAATCTGAAATTCTTTCAAAACTTCAAAGTGAAAAAAATCGTATGAGAAATGGCTTTACTTTTACCAGACAGTGGGTCTTACATTAGGAAAGGGGTGTGTGTGTGTGTCTGTGTGTGTGTGTCTGTGTGTCTGTGTCTCTATGTGTGTGTGTATGTATGTGTGTATGTGTGTATGTATTCTGTGTGTGTGTGTGTGTGTGTGTATTCTTTACACAGTGTGTTTGTATTACTCTTGCAAATTTAAAGTATATGGGCCTACATACTGAACAGCATTAGCAGCAGGAATTAGATAGGGGGTGGGAATTTCATAAATATAGTGGCTATAAAATTAACTGGAGGCTGTACATGGGGCACACACATTTGATCTCAGGACTCAGAAAGTAGAGGCAGGGAGATCTCTGTGTTACAGGCCAGCCAGGGCTTCATAGTGAGGCTCCTTGTCTCACTCAACACAAACAAACCCAAAACCTAATCTCGGAAAGATACTTGTAGAACTTCCATGTCTCCTTGTGAATTCCACCTGTTTCATTTTCTGATCTCTGAAAAACATAACTTTTCATTTTCCTTCTCTCCCCTGCCCCATTATACTTGTCAAAGCCTGATCATGGTTTCTCTGGCACTCTGAGCATTCTGTCTCTGAAGCCCCCCATCCCACCTGCTGTACAGCTGTCAACCAGCGTTATGAAAAGTGTGGCTTTTTCTTATCCTAGTCTTCCTTTTTAAAAATGATTTATTTATTCATTCTTATTCTATGTATATCTGTGTTTTGCCTATATGTATGTCTGTCTTGAGGTGTCAGATTCCCCTGGAGCTAGAGTTACAAACAGTTGTGACCTGCCATGTGGGGTGCCAGGATTTGAACCTGGATCCTCTGGAAGAGCAACCAGTGCTCTTAACCACTGAGCCATCTCTGCAGCCTGTTCATCCTCTTCTTCCTGGCAACTGCCAAGACTTACAGCTTGCCTACCCTATTGTTTTTCTCTCAAATTTGAATAAAACGATCCCTAAGTTTAAAAAATAATAGCCAGGCAGTGGTGGCTAGTGGAGCACACCTTTAATCCCGGCACTCAGGAGGCAGAGGCTTCTGGGAGGTTGAGGCCAGCCTGGTCTATAGAGCAAGTTCCAGGACAGCCAAAGCTATACAGAGAAATCCTGTCTCAAAACCAGTATAAATAAATAAATGTAAAAAAAATTAAATGGAATAATTTTGAGAAGTTGAAATAAATGGACTAAAATTTTTGGCGTCTCAGCTTTGAATGTTATCCTGGTTGCTAAGCTGGGTTTAAAGGCTTTTCTGTTTATCCCACTAATGTGTCATCTCCTGATATTTATGTGACTCAATAGATGACCAGGAATAAGCTGGCCCATCTTGTCCTAGATGCAGAATTATTGCTTTACAACATCAGAGCAGTGGCTTCTGTTTGTGACTGATAAGGGAGAAGGTAAACTAAGTAGCTTATAAATGCTTCATATGGAACAGATGTATTTATCTGAGCACATTCGTGAGTCATCTTATGAATCCTGTTGGGTTTTAATCTAATGAAAATCACACAAGTGCACATCTGGTGTTTGAAATGTGTCATGATTGGGAGGGGCGGAGCATAGTGGAGCCTAGCTTGGAGTGTAATGGAATACATAAACCTCTCCTCTGCCTCGATTCTGCACCGCAAATGCCACAGGGATGAGATTCTGCATCTTGTATTAATATTGAAATCCTGTTGAGGGGAGCTAAGAGTTCTGGATTCTGGGAGCAGGAGACTGCCCCAGTCTTTACTTTGTTCTGTTTATCTCTTGTGTAACCTTGACTGGCCTGGAACTGTGTAGGAATTGCCTTGGCTTCCTGGTCGGGAGTTGCAGGCATGCGCCACCACACCCAGCTTGCTTTCTTCTTAACCACGCAACGGCCTTCTGGGTGTGAGCAGTGCTTTAACATTTAACCCTACAGATTCCCATTTCCTCTTTTGCAAATAAGCAGAAAATAGGCAGTTTAAGATATGCTTGGCTACTTCAAGACAGTATCTCAAAACAGAACAAACAAAAAAGCAGTGGGGGTTGGAGGGGTGGATAGAGGTTTATGAGGAGGGGGCATATGCGGGAGGGCTAGAGAGATGGCTCAGAAGTGAAAAGTCCAGTTCCTGGCAACCACATTGGGCAGCTCACAGAGAATCTGAATCATAGAAAATCACAGCCAAAACACAAGCTCCAGAGAATCTGCAGCCTCTGGCCTCCGGTCTCTACTGGTACACACACTCATGTGCACTAACCCCAAACACACATGCATAATTTACAATACGGTAAAAATATTTTAAGAGAATTTGGATACCTATACAAAGTATCCAAGCTTTTCTTTTTTCAAGTTAGAAGACCCATAAAGCACAGTTTTGCAATCAAGAGTGTTGTTCAAGCCGGGCAGTGGTGGCGCACGCCTTTAATCCCAGCACTTGGGTGGCAGAGGCAGGGGGATTTCTGAGGTCAAGGCCAGCCTCGTCTACAGAGTGAGTTCCAGGACAGCCAGAGCTATACAGAGAAACCCTGTCTCAAAAAGCAAAAAAAAAAAAACAACAAAAACAAAAACAAACAAACAAAAAAAACAAAAAAAAGAGTGTTGTTCACTCTTCCTGTCTGAGTTTTTTGTTGTTGTTTTGGTTTGTTTGGTTTGTTTAGTTTTGGTTTCTGAGGCAGGATTTTCTGTATATCCTGGCTGTCCTGGACCTACTCTGTGAACCCGGTTTCTTGTCTGAATTTGATTCCCACTTCCACGTTACCCAGCTCACAAGTGCCTGTAACTCCAGCTCAGAGAATCTATCAGCATCTTCTGGCCTCCTTGAAGGTAGCTGCATGTGTACATACACATGTATGAATGCATACATGCACAAATAAATGATAAAAGTAAATCTCTCTTTAAACAAAACAAACTGAGAATGTGTATGTTAAGTAGTTCTCCCTGCCATGGGCTCCATTCCAGGGCCCTGTATGGATACCACAATTTTCATCTGCTTAAGTCCCTTATATAAAATGGCATAGTGTTTGCAAACACCCTACCTACATCCTCCCTTAGAACTTGTTTGTTTGGTCTAAGATAGAATATCACAATGTAGTCCAGGATGGGATGGAACTTACTATGTAGCCCACAGTGGCCTTGAATTCGAAATCCTCCTGTATCAGCATCTTGGTGCTGGGACTACAGGTATGTATCACCATGCTCAGCCCCCGCTTTCTACTTATTTACATTATCTCTGGATTACTTAGCATGTATCTATCGTATTACAGATGCTGTGTTGTAGGATTGTGGTCTTGTGTCTGCTCTGCCACAGGGCGTGGCTGCTTGAGATAGAACTCAGGGAGTTTGACTACCCACGGTGCGGTGCGGTGCCACAGGGGTGTTGGGCTGCAGGGAAGTGACCAGGTACTGCCTTGGGGGTGGGAAAGGTGTGGGCTTGGTGGCAGTTGTGGCTGGAAGTGCAGAGAAGCCTTCTATGGGAGATGGCTTCTTCGTGGCTCCCCTTAGCAGATCTTGATGAAATGAGACACTCTGTGGTTCTAAACCGTTGATTGTCATGGCAGGAAGTGGATTCATAAAATCATACCCCCCTTCTCAGGGTAGACCTGAGATAAAATACCTTTTGCTGGGAGGAATGTCTGGAAAGGGAAGCTTATTGGCTAAACCCTGTGGGCCTCTAGGTACCTCATTAGCATGGAGGACTCTGTTTTGGGCCTATGTGACTGTGATCCTGTGGTCCCGTGGTCCTGTGGTGGTGTCTCTTTTCCTATTGTCTTGGTCTGAGATGTTAGGGATGCCTCATCTACGTGTGGAAGGGCTTGGGGCATTGCCCCATGTGATTGATGGCCACAAATCTCTCAATGGGAGCTGTGGCTAAGTGACAGGGGCCTGGTGCTAGGAGCAGGTGAAGCTCCCACTGTCCCTTCAGGGTCTCCGGGGTGTCTAGCCTTTAGCTCGACCTTATCATGCTTCCTCTCACTGCCCACCACCCTGCCCTGTGTGAATAGCTATTGTACTGTGCTGCTTAGGAAGAATTAAAGGAGAAATCTATATGTGCCCAGTACAAATCTAATATCTTTTTCTAAAATATTTAGCTTTTTGTGGGGTTGAATTCACAAATACCAATTCTGATATTTATCGATGTAAGGACCAACTGTATCTTCATGAGAACTTTTTAAAACCTAATTTGAATAATAATGAAGAGAGATAAATACACTACATTTTTCAAAACAAGAAAACACCTAGCTATTATTTATAATCACTGTCATTTCGTATAAGATTGTGTGTGTGTGTGTGTGTGTGTTTATTCTGGGTCTTGAACCCAAGTACCTCATGCAAGCAAAGCAAGCATAGTCCTATATGCTACATCCCCAAACTAAGGAAAAAAAAAAAAAACTTTAATCCCCATAGAGGTAAGAAATCTTCAATTTCAAAACAAAGAACACTTAGCTTTAAATTTTTATAATGTTTATTTATTTTGTGTGTATATGTGGGGTGTGAGTGTGCAGGCGTTGCAGGTGGGTGCATAGGTACCATAGTAGGAGGGTGGAGGTCAGAAGATAACTTTCAGTTGTGTCTTTCCACCATCTGAGTCCTGGGAATTGAACTCAGGCTGTCAGGCTTGGCAGGAAGTACTTTTAAAGAGTTATGATGGCAGATTGACTCAGTGCCTCTCAGTTTACTGTATACCAATGAGTCGGTTACTGAAAGCTCATAACAGGACCGAGTTATGGGTCTGGAAGGCC